AAAAATAATAATTTAAACAACTGATGGCTTCAGAAAGAAGCTATATAGGCTTCCTAATATTGTTTTCATGTAAATTGACAAATGATTTAATATAAATTACTTATTAAATTACAATTATTATGATTGTTATTATTATTATTATTATTATTATAGTAGATTCTACTAGTTCTAATATAAATACATTTTATTATTTTTTTTATTTACCTGAATTTTATTGTAACAGCCGGTCATGAGTTTCTGTTTGTTAATATTTCTTATCTCAAAAAAAAAAAAATAATAAATAAAAAATAAATAAATAAATAAATAAATAAATAAATAAATAAATAAATAAATAAATAAATAAAATGATGCTTAACTGACTTTCAGAGCAGCTGTGGAGATGTGTCATGTCTAGGACCAGACAGAATCTGTGCACATGTTTTGCTTATGCGGAATGATTTTGGGTGTATCGCAACTAAAAACTTAATACATTGAATAAAAAAATAATACATTTTTAGCGCTTATTTAATGTTTACAATGCAAATCCTATTAGATATACTTATTTAGTAAACAAACCAAGTCTATCATATAATATCTACAATATAGGTGAATATTGTGCAAAGCACAAAAATGTTTTGTTTTTTTAATGAAAAGGCAGCCTTTGCTGCTGCAGCACAGCGCATGACAAATTGCAGCACTGCGCGTGAAGAAACTTTTTCCGTGGCCATACAGTATCTGTATACTGTAGCTAATAAAAGTTATGACGGATATTATTACTTAACGAGTTCTATTATAGTCAGTAATATTACTCAAATTAAACAACTGAATAAATATAAACGTACCTACATTTACACACACTTAAAAACTATTTACTCAATAATTTGCTGAAAATCTATGAAAATCTGTGAATTTCTGTGCGCACAGATCTGTGTCTAGTCCTAGTCATGTCCTTATTTTAGGGCTAGGCGATTGGCCTAAAATCAAAATCTCGATTAATTTAACATTTTAACTTGATTATGATTAATAAACGACTATTTTATTTATTAATTTAATTAAATTTTATTTATTTATTTATTTTTGCCCTCAGTTCACTAACAGGTTTTATACAGTAAATATGCTCACATATTACAAGTGAAAGATTTTTGAAAAAAAGGATGCATTATTTTACTTTAAAATAATTGAAGGAAACACACATTATCTATTATTGATGATTATTTATTGACTATCAACATTGAACAACTGAAATTATGTGTGCTTAAACTTACGAGTAATAAACAATAAATTCATTTAAATAAACATGTAGCTTATGCCGTCTTCATAGGTAAATAGTCTTTTTGTTGTTTAATTTGCACATATTATGGTTTGGTTTGGCTACTTTTAATTTATTCTTCCAAAATTTGCCAAATTCTAGGAGAATTCAAGCTTTACAGCTGTTTTTATTTGATGTCTTTTCCACATTGTGACCATCATAAAGCCCTAAAATACTGTATAATAAACAATGTATAATGAAAAAAAAAAAAGTCTCTGGAACATTTTGTAATTACACAAAAACTAAACATAATTCATCCCTCAATCACATCTGTCAAAAACTCAGGCTGGGTTGGTTGGAGTATTCTAAATATTACTTTAAAACATCTATTAAACAGACTTGAGTATTACTGGTTTAGACATAAATAATTATAACCTTACCATCCACACCACTGTATGTTTTGACTAAGCCGTTGCTTTTTGACAAAAAGGAGAAAATGGCATGCTGAGTGCTTCAACATGCTGTCTGTCAGAGATGATAATGTACCTAATACACAACACATGCCAGTGTGAATTTGTTCATCCCTCGTGGAAATTGAACCAAAATTATCAGTGAACTGAGTGAAGAACTTTCGAAAGAGAATAAACACTAATTCCAACCAATTTCAAACTGAAAAAAATATATACAGAATTTTCATTCAACATTGGCTGCATTCAAGTCCAATATTTTATGCCCTTCACTCACTAATTTCCTTTCATCTCGCTCCCTCGAATGTACTGTGAGTCATTGACAACAATACACAAATGTTCACTGCTTGCGGAACATCTGAATGGGTTTAAATAAAATGCCCTAAACCCTGGTAAATATAGGTGCAGGGGTGGACATATGAAGTCGACGCACTTTCTCTGTCAAAATAGAGGGATCAAGGGTATGTCCTGTAAAATGTAAAATTTCAGTAGAGATTAGGCTTGGGCGGGAATACAGTTATGTGGTATACCGTGGTATCGAAAAATAGCAATGGTATCAGTTTCAATACTGTTATAATGTCATAAAAAACAATGCACTTATATAGGAGACAAGGATTGAATATTAAATATAATTTATTTAATGACTAAAAATGCATATGCATGGTTTTCATCAGCATTGAGGAAAAAGACAGACGTGGGCAATGATAGCGAGTTAAGCACCAAATGACCTAGTCTCGAAAAAGAACACAACTTCTTAAGCATGGGACGTTAATCGTTACACCGTATACCGAAGTTTGGAGTCAAGGTTTTAAATCCACCAAAATTTTCAGTGATACCATGAAACCATGATATTCTTATCCAAGGTTCTCAATGTCAGAATCTTATACCAGCCTATGCCTGCAACTTATGCAGTTTGGCAGTATACCAGTTTTTGACCGAATGAGTAGGGAAAGGCAGTAAAAATGGACAATTTGCAAACTGTGCAACAAAAAGGGGACCACGAGAGATGTATATACCTTGAACCCAAGGTTGCATTCACAAAACCACCATCCACTTACTGCTGCGAGTTCACTTAGTGCAACAGTTACAACGCCTCCCGATGCAGGACCATCAACTTCTTGGTCGACTGCCAGTACACAGCCGATGATAATGGGGGCTTTCGGGAAAACAACAAAGTACAAAAGGGACAGTGTCCGTTGGAAAACTTGTACTGATACATTGACAAAATACTTGGCGAAGGAAATGGTTTCTTTCCACACAGTGGAAAACAAGTCCTTTAAGGATATGGCAAAATTTTATTGATTTGTTTCCGCATCTCTGCACGAAAACTGTTCTGAATTTTTATGTTAATTTAAATCTGTTTGAATGTTTAAACTTTTTTATAAACTGCTATTTGTTGCTAATGATTAAAAATTTTAATATTGTTGTGCATGTTATTTTGCTATTCTTTCAGTATTAACGTTTGGTATTCAGTTTTTGAATGGTTTAGGCACAAGCCAACAGTTTGGTGCCACTGTCTGACCCTTACATCATATTTATTTATATATTTATTTATTTTTTATTATTCGAGGTAATACCACATCACGAAAGAAAATAGAGAGGAGGTTTGACACTATAAAAATTTGGATACCACCCAAGCCTAGTGCAGATTCCCTTGAGGAAACAAGAAAAGGGAAGTTTGTGAGTGCTTATCTACAAGTGAAGTGGAACTCTCCATGTATTAATGGTTTTGATTTTGGTTCTGAGTCTGGCATTCCCAATATGAATATGCATCCGGTATTATAATCTATTTATTATTATTGGTAGTATTTTTGACTTATCTTTTAACTGAATTATGGACTTCCAGCAAGGTCGCTGGATCGAGTCTTGGTTGGGTGAGTTGGAATTTGTGTGGAGTTTGCATGTCCTCAGGTTTGCATGGGTATACTGTAAATGAATTAGACTAACTAAATTGGCCCTAGCATACGCCTGTGTGTGTGTGTGTGTGTGTGTGTGTGTGTGTGTGTGTGTGTGTGTGTGTGTGTGTGTGTGTTTGTGTGTGTGTGTGTGTGTGTTTCCCAGTGCTGGGTTCCAGCTGGAAGGGCATCCACTGCATAAAACATATGCCAGAATAGTAGGCGGTTCATTCCACTATGGTGACCTCTGAATAGAAAATAAGCCGAAGATAAATAAATGAATTATAGATACAGTTTAAGAAGTGTCCTTGTAGATACTCAATTTATACGATTAGAGAACTTGATAGGGGACATTTATATGGTTTTGTATTCTCAAATTTTCTGTATTATTAAAGTTTTCATAAAACGCTGCAAACGTACAAATAAAAGATGACATGGATTTTGAGACGTATACACAGAGGAGGTTGTCACGCATGCTTTGTTCACAAATCAAAAAGCTTGCTGTTGCCAAAGTGCACTGTGCATCAGAAGAAAATGACTAACATATGCGAGTGTACACTTGTTTATCTGGAGGAAATGATGCTTAAATTGGAACTGTACATTTTCATTAAGCTACTAATTACGGCTTGATCAGTGTTGAAGAGCTACAATACTGTGAGCTCAACCACTAAATGGGTCCCTGTCCAAGGTCCTGAAATCTCTTTAGCAGAGAAGGCCATGTACAAAAAAAAAAATCTGTTGATTTTACCTTTTATTCATCTGTGCCTTTTAAAGCTTTCAGAGGGATTTATTACTGGCCTTCAATTTCAAATATTAAAGACTGTAGAATATGTACTCAGAACTGCGAGCATGAACAATTTTAACTGCCGAAATTACAAACCGATTTTTTTTAATTCTATATTGTGATTAATACAATAATTTTAATCAAATATCATAATGCTAAAATAAGTTTACTTTTTTGGTTGAATTTTCAAGTAGGCTATTATATGTAAACTAAAGTGTGTATGTATAGTAGTCACCACCTGAAGTGGATTAAAACCTTTCAATTTTGAATAAATAAATAAATAAATGTAATCAATAGCATTAATATATATATATATATATATATATATATATATATATATATATATATATATATATATACACACACACACACACACATACATACATACACATACATATGTATATTATACACACACACACACACACACACACACACACACACACACACACACATTTTTATTATTGTACACAAGAATGTAGCTTTCAAAGTTTTGTCTTGTAGTTTCCCCACACAAATCACCTTAAGTGTGTTTAAAACATGGACACGTGCCCTTCAAAAAAGCCTAGCAATGAATGAGTGTGTAAAAACGTTTTACCGAAATCTTAGAAACACTATGTGTGCTTTACCTCAATATCCTGCAACTCTTTGCTCAGCATTGTAGCCATTACTATCCGATCCGCAGTTTATGATCCGATCGCTCCAGCGCAAGAGAGCGTTTGAGTAGATCTAAGCACGCGCTCAGAACTTCAGTGAGCGCGCCTAAAAACGCGCGCGACCAGTCCATTATGTCTCAGCACACATCTCACCTCAGCTGCAGTTTCCATCGTTTTATTGACGCAGGCATGATAAAGTGCCATTCTTAAACCGTCTGTGCTCACGTTTATTGTCCATTTTCTACCCATTAACTTTTGAAATTGACACGACTTAGCGACGTTTTACAAGTTCTGAGTGAAATGGTAGATTCCGACTGACGTCGGAAGTTCAGAGGGTCAAAGTTTACAGTGAAGGTAAGGCTTGCCTGCGTGCACACCGTGGCGGTTTTGTAATCCTCCATTTTGTCAATATTTAAACAAAAATGTTTAACATATGCAGAGTTCAGATGCAAAGTGCCGTCTGAAATTTCCATCGAAAATGAACGTTTCTTTTTTTTCTCTCAGCTTCCTTTGTTTACATTGTTTAGTTTAAAGACCTCAAAAAGGACTTATTCTTTGCCAGAAAAGTGATATTAGTGAACCCACACACAAGACAGAAGCATGATAAAACTGCTTATTTTAGAAGAAAGTTTCAGACGACATTTCGAGGTTTTTGCATGAGAACTCTTCATATGTGAAATGAATGTCTGTCTGTCTGTCTGTCTGTCTATAACAATGTATATAATTTCAAATTCAGTGCAATGTTACCTGAAAATACAGATTTAATCATATAGTTTAATTCTCAAGCCAGTTTATAGACTTATTTTTCATCATTTTATCTTTATAAGTACATTTGAATTACCCATAGCATAATTTCTGCATGATTTTACCTAAGTTCAGCTTCATGTTCAGCTTTATTTATTATGCATATTTATTTTCAGATATATAAAACTGATTTTTCAAATAGCTGCATCAGATCATATTTGAACCAAAAATAGCTTAGTTTCGGAGCATTTCAAGATTAGGAACTCTCGTTATTGAGTTTAGTTAAGAATGCTTCAGGATGGAGTGAGGGGTTAAATTTTTGGAGCTTCACTATCACACAGAGGAGGGGAGCAGCTTGTCCAGTGACGTCCTGCCCCCCCTCCTCCTTCTTTCCTCAGTGAATCAAAGGTTCAAAGTCTGACGACCCCAAGTCACCAATCCTCTGAGGTCTGCTATTCTGAAACACCACTACACTATTATTTAATCACATGTTATTTTTACAGATTCTTGCTTTCGCAGTCAGAGAACATAAAATCTTAAAAAGCAAATTCTGGTTATCAAAATGAATTAAAAAGGATTACTGTAGGTGGGATTTATCTACAATCCTCCTCAAATAATTAAACACAATTTCTCTTCTTTTATTCATTTAAAAATGCAAACATCTGCTGAAGATGTGTTTAAACCATATATAAGTTTGGTAAATCATCACACAACACAATTCTCAGTTTTTGTCTTTATTATAAAACATAAATATTCTCAACAACATAAAAAATTGAACACAGGACATCTTAAGAGGCTTGTAATTCCCTTTTCCCCTTAAGACATGAGACTTTGTTTTCTTTTCTCTTTTTTTATGTAGACACCTCTGCCACCATCACGTGTAGAAATAGGTCACTTCACCTTCCATTCACTAGTGTTTATTCCTCCTGCCTGCTTGCATCTCCCGTCTTTGCAGTCAGAGCGGGTTTCTCTCCAACCCAACACAGCAGGCCAAACGTGAGCAGGGCTTGATGTTCAAACACCTGCCGACTGCTGAGGAGCTTTATTTTTTCAAATCTGCAACTCTGGAGCTGAGCTGAGCTGAGCTGAGCTTCTCAGTTCTGTGTGTGTGAGTGCACGGTTTGCACCCCAAGCAATATTTTGCAACATCTACTTAGCCATATTATTATTATTTTTTCCCAGACAGTATAATCATTCAAAAAATGTTAGTTGTTCCTACAAAAACATTATGTTTGCACTTAATATAAGAACACAAATGCAGAGTTTAGCACTTTCTTTAAATGTTCTAATATAAACAGCAACACAGAAATAGTGATGAAAACCAAAACAACGTCCCAAATGACTGTATTTTTTTATTACAGTATATTTGCCCAATGTAATTCAAATTAAATATTTATGCTCTGTAAAAGCATATTTGAGCAAAAATCAGGCAGTTCTGTTTTTTTATATTATTATTTTTATTCAGTCCAAAAAGTTGTTGATGTGACTATAGAAATTTATAAATGGTTTCAGCTATTTAAATATTATTTCTGCACAAATCTAAAGCAGCACATCTGTTAATAATGATGGATGGATGGATGGAAAGTTCGTAGACAGACAGATAGATGTATAGATAAATAGATGGAGCGTTTCACACAATTAATTCATGTTGTCGCAACACAATTCGATTAAGTTACCTTAACACATTTAAATTGGCTGAAGACAAAACATTTAAATTGACACAAAAAACAAGAATTGTGATTCAGCTCATCTGATAAAAATAGTTTGACCAAGCAAACAATAAATATTTTTAGAATATATATATATATATATATATATATATATTAGGGGTGTAACGATTTATCGTTGTAAGATTTATTGCGATGCAAAAATTTCACAAATGCATCGTGGCGTTATGACGATTTGATTACGATATGACGTCCGTTTTCTCTTATTAGTTGAGCTGTTTGCACGTGAGCTACGTTCCACCTGCTGTCGCACGTGCTGTGGCAACATTTCGGTTGTACAGTCATTGCTTTAGACTCGTCCGCTTTTTGACATGCATACTGGGTCAAACATCCTAAGTTTTAAAGTCTTCACAGTGATTTACTTACTTTGCACAGCGACACCTCCTAATGGTGTTGAAAGAGTCACATACTGTATTTATAAGGTACAATTCACCCTAAAATATCATTGTCTTCATATAATGATGTGTTCGCGTCTGCAAAATCACACATGAAGTGAGCTGATTGTGAGCTGTTACTACAGAGGGCGGACTATGATAGACGCGTGCGTATGGCAAGCCGTTTTAGCATTTAAACCTTTGTTCTGACTATCCATAAATATATTTAGAGATATCTCTAATTATATTTTGACTAATCATAATTATAATTCGACTAGTCAGAATGACAATTAGAGATATCTGCAATTACAATTGTACTATAGTACGAAATCAGATTGGACTAGTCATATTCCTCCATTGACTGCCATTGAAAAATATTTGCAGATATCTCTAAATGAGTTTTAACTAGTCACAATTGTAATAAGAGATATCTCTAAATGAATTTCGACTAGTAACAATTGCAATTAGAGATAGCTCTAACTGAGTTCTTACTAGTCATAATACATTTAGAGATATCTTTAATTCGTCATATTTAGAGATATCTATAAATATATTTGAAGATATCTCTAATTAATTTACTACTAGTCGAATTACAGTTGTAGATATCTTGAATTGGATTTTTGACTAGTCAAAATTCATTTAGAGATATCTCTAATTATAATCTAATTGTCATTCTGGCTAGAATAATTATAATTATGACTAGTAAAGATATAATTAGAGATATCTCTAAATATATTTATGGAGAACAAAGGTTTAAATGCTAAAATGGCTTGCCATACGCGCGCGTCTGCTTCAGTGAACAGAACCTGCAGGTTGTGACTAACAGGTAATAGTAAACAACATCCAGTTTGTGGAACAGAGTGATCGTTCAGGAGCCGCATGGGAAGTGTGAACAGCACTTAGCAGTGGAAATGAAACCGAAAACGTGCACATTATTTAAACAATCATATCGCATTTTAGAGTTATGATTACGACGAGCACTAACCCTTTTCAATACAGAGGTACACAAAAATGCACGTCAACATGATACACTTGATAGCGCCGACATCAGTGACGCCGAAGAAATAGTAAACCTGCCGAAACTGCTGAAAAGAGCCTCGACTGTTCTGTGTAATGAAAAGACGGCCACCATGTCACTCATCATGCCCAACATGAAGACAGCTATCCATAAAAACCTCTCAGACAGATACACCAAAGTTCAGGATTATCTTATAGAACTGCTGATTACCTGGAAATGTAGATTTTTTTTTTTTGCACACACAAAAAACGCAAGTGACCAAGCAAAGCCTTAAACTCTTACTGTTAAATTTAATTGAATAGAAAGTTTTTTTTTTTGCACCTTTACTTAAATTGTTCCTTAATTTTGTCTCTGTCATTTCAATAATAATTTATAAGAAGTTTTTAAATTGTTTTATTTTCCAGAGACAGGCCTGTTTAATTTATTTTCTAAAAGAAGGTTCAGTTTAACAAGTTGAAACAAAAGAAATACATAAAAAAATAGTTTACTTGGTAATAAATTTTTTAAAATAAAATTTGCATTTCCGTTTAATTTGTAATTTTTATTCCAAATATCGTGATACATATCGAACCGTGAACATTATATCGTGTACACATTGTATCGTGAGCTGAGTGTATCTATATATATATATATACTATTCTATTTGATTTAACCAAAGTCACACAAGTGGCAATTTCACATTTGTCACATCAGTAACGAAGAGATGTCACATCTGCAACGACAGTTTTTCCTCATAAATGTGAAAATTTAAAATAAAATAAACCTATCCCTTTCGTTCTATAGAGAGCCAACTCATTTCCGTTTGATGAGCATTGTTTATTTTGGGTTATGCAGTTTAATTCACAGAATTTCTACAAAGTATGTTGTATACTGTAAACCCGCAGACTTTTTTGGTCACATCCATAACGCATGTTTTCTTTTCTCATTTAAAGTTCAAAATATGTTTACAGAAAATATAAACAAAAGTTTCAAAATAATTCATCATAATTGTTAAACAAAATGTTAGTCATTATGAAAAATGATTATATTTTCTACTTATTATCAGAACACAAAAGAGTTTAATACATATCTTTGATGTAACTCTTCTAATGCAAACAACAACACACAACTAATCATAAAAACTCAAAGTATGCCCCAGACTGACTGTTTTTTTTTATTTGCTTGCTCTTCGATTCATATATTCG